CCCCCCCTATTTTCCTTTTTTAAGTCATAAAACATTTTGGATTATGACTGCAGCTCTGGGGTTAATTCTATGAATGTTGATTTGTTCTTCTGTATTGTTTTCTAAAACATTTATATTTACATTTTCTTTAACTTAATAGTTACTTAAAATGTTCTTTTAAATTTTTTAAATGATTGAGTTCATACTTCCACTTTGTTTTGTTCTAATTTTATTATATTTTTCCTGAAACGTGTATTTTTTATATTGTAAATAAGTACTAGATGTTACTCAAATTAATGTTATTTTCCTTGCGTTGCATTATATTTCTTGGAATTGTATAAACATATTCTGTTTGATCATGCTTTTAAAAGAGAACATTGATGAAAAAATTTATTTTTTCTGACAGCAAGGTGTGGGGATTGCCTGACTCTGTTCTCATTTTCTGATCATGAAAATAATCTGTCTTTTCATTTATCCTGCTGGAATAATATAACCCAGTGAACTTTCAGTGTTTTTGCATACCACTAGACTAAAGACTAATTTTACCTGCTCTGTTTCACAGTTCCCTAACTATAGGAATAAAAATTTATCTTTATGTATGTTGATATAAAATATTTACTTTTGGAGAGACACTGTATAAGACAATAATAATAATAATAATAATTGATATTTTTCAGCATCTAGTTCTAGATGTTTTTGATAATAATAATACTTGATACATAATGTTTTTGATATGCCAGGCTTTTTTATGCTTTAAACATAGGAATTCATTTAATTATCAAAACAATACTAAAAATAGTTATTGTTTTATCATCCTTATTTTTTTAATGTGAAAACCAAAGCATAGGGAGAGGTTAAATGAGTTACTTAAGGACAGATAGAAAGAAGATAGCAAGGCAAGATTGAGTTCCAACCAAAAGCCTGTGCTTTTAACCACTAAGCTGTATTGCTTCTCAGAAATAAAGACTACTTTATATACTTTAATTCAATTAGTAGACCCAGTCTATATAAGGTAGATAGCATTAACTCCATTTGGAAAAGAAACTGAATTTCAGAGAGGGGGAATAACCTTCCAAAGGCTACAGACATTTGAAGTGTCCAAGTTCAAAATTGTGCTGAGATCTGTTAATTATCCTTCTATATGAAGATGACTCTAAACCTGAAACTTTGAAACCTGAAACCTAAACCTCTCACATGCAGACAACAAAAACTATAAATCTAAGAATGTCATATTCCCAACAATTTGTACTTACCAACTACTCACCTTAATTCCCAACTTCTTTATGTATTCTGTTGTACAGTGTTCTTGGAGAGAGGGGCATGAGAACCCACAAAAGATAAGTGTTGATAGCACTATACTAGGACTGGTACCTATCTTATAGGAGGCACTCAATAAATATCAGTTGAATGAATAGTCCATTTTTTATTAACATATAATGTATTATTTGTTTCAGGGGTACAGGTTTGTGATTCATCAGTCTTACACAATTCACAGCACTCCCCATGGAGAGTGCTGTGAATTGTGTAAGACTGATGAATACCCTCCCCAATGTCCATCACCCAGCCACCCCATCCTTCACACCCCCCCACCCCCCCAGCAACCGTCATTTTGTTTCCTGAGATTAAGAGTCTCTTATGGTTTATCTCCCTCTCTGGTTACATCTTGTTTCATTTTTCCCTCACTTCCCCTATGATCCTCTGTCTTGTTTCTCAAATTCCTCATACCAGTGAGATCATATGATGATTGTCTTTCTCTGATTGACTTATTTCACTTAGCATAATGCCCTCTAGTTCCGTCCACATCATTACAAATGGCAAGATTTCTTTTCTTGATGGCTGCATAGTATTCCATAGTGTATATATACCAGACCTTCTTTATCTGTTCATCTGTTGCTGGACACCTAGGCTCTTTCCGTAGTTTGGCTATTGTGGACATTGCTGTATAAACATTCGGGTTCACATGGCCCTTCCGACCACTATGTTTGTATCTTTGGGGGTAAATACCCAGTAGTGCAATTGCTTGGTTGTAGGGTATCTCTATTTTCAACTTTTTGAGGAAATTCCATATTGTTTTCCAGAGTGGCTGCATTGCATTCCTACCAACAATGTAGGAGTGTTCCCCTTTCTCTGCATCCTTGCCAACACCTGTTGTTTCCTGACTGGTTAATTTTAGCCATTCTGACTGGTATGAGGTGGTATCTCACTGTAGTTTTGATTTGTATTTCCCTGATCCCGAGTGATGTTGAGCACTTATTCATATGTCTGTTGGCCACTTGAATGTCTTCTTTGCAGAAATGTCTGTTCATGTCTTCTGCCCATTTCTTGATTGGAATATTTGTTCTTTGGGTGTTGAGTTTGATAAGTTCTTTATAGATTTTGGATACTAGCTCTTTATCTGATATGTCATTTGCAAATATCTTCTCCCATCTGTCAGTTGTCTTTTGGTTTTTGTTGACTGTTTCCTCTGATGTGCAAAAGCTTTTTATCTTGATGAAGTCCCAATAGTTCTTTGCCCTTGCTTCCCTTGCCTTCAGTGATGTTTCTAGGAAGAAGTTGCTATGGCTGAGGTACAAGAGGTTGCTGCCTGTATTCTCCTCAAGGATTTTAATGGACTCCTGTCTCACATTGAGGTCCTTCATCCATTTGGAGTCGATTTTTGTATATGTTGTAAGGAAATGGTCCAGTTTCATTCTTCTGCATGTGGCTGTCCTATTTCTCCAACACCATTTGTTGAAAAGACTGTCTTTTTTCCATTGCATACTCTTTCCTGCTTTGTCGAAGATTAGTTGACCATAGAGTTGAGGGTCTATTTCTGGGCTCTCTATTCTGTTCCATTGGTTTACATGTCTGTTTTTGTGCCAGTACCATACTATCTTGATAATTATAGCTTTGTAATAGAACTTGAAGTCTGGAATTGTGATGTCACCAACTTCGGTTTTCTTTTTCAATATTCTTCTGGCTATTCGGGATCTTTTCTGGCTCCATATAAATATTAGGATTATTTCCATTATTTTTTTTTAATGATCTTTTTTTTTTGCAAGAGATTTAGTAAACATCCCTCACAGCAAATGAAAATCAGACACTTTTTCTTTCTATCTTTCTTTCTTTCCTTTTGTTTTTAGATTTTTGCTTTCTCAGTGTTTTCAGTGGTAAGTAAATGGTGAATTCAGATAAACTTCATCTTGTTACTGCATGTTCATAATACCAAAGATAGTTTTGGGCAGATGATATGCATTTAATTAGTATTTATTGAAATGATAAATGTTAAGAGAAGGCACATCTGAGAAATCAGTATCTACCTTCATTAGAAGCAAAATTTATTTTGAGAATAAAGATGATTTAATATTGATATATACAAAAAACTTATTTTTTAAAACATGATATAAGGTTTCATGAAAGATTTGGTCTCAAATATGTATAATCTTCAACAAAACTATTAAACATGTTTTAGTTAACCCCATGACTAGTAATTATTTTATACATTAAAGCACATTTATAGATATTAACCCTAGGAATCTTAAAGTGTACAGTATTAATGAATGGTATTGGTAAGTTGTAACTTATTTACATTAATGAGCTCTTTATAGATTTATAAAAATAATTTCTCAAAGTTTTATGAATGACATAATTAACATATCCTATTCTTTTGTTTGAATATCCATAGCTCAGTCCATTTTTAAGACATTCTGTTTTGAAGAAGACATTTAATGTCACTCTACCAAATCCTTCCCTGATTACGAGAGAAAACACTTTTACTGTAAAACAAAAAGCCAAACAAAAAAACCCAGAAAGCAAAGTAAAATCTTCTAAATGGTAAGTGTGCTTGTTCTCACTGAATCATAGGGTTGCTACATTTTTACAGTCCATGAATTAACTGTCATATATAATCTCTGAGACAGATAATTTTTTTCTGTCTTCAAAGCAATGTATTTGTATCCTTGTTCTAGAGCTTGGTTATTTATATCCCTAGGGGGTAATTAACATATTATAGTAGAGACCGCTATGCATGCTTCTAGAAATAAATGATGAACCTGGTCAAGAATACCATTTTTAGAAAGTCTACTTTTCATTTGCCTTTAACACTAAGATAGGAGAGTTACCTTAATGAGGTGAAGCTGATAGTATTTCTTTTAATTAACCTATCTTTTAAAACAAAGAAATCTACAAAATAATGCCATGGTCTAGTCAGTTATTGTGAGATTACATCTCAGTGAAATATATAGGCTTTTTCAAACAAATTGTATTATCAAGCAAGTTTGAACTAAGAATATTCCTAAGTAAATAGTTAATAGGTATGGGTTAAACACCAAGTGTATAGTAGTGACTAACAGTGGTTTAGGCTTTATTTGGGGTGTTTTTGGTACCATAGGATGGGCTTGAATAATCTGATGTTACTGTATTCCAAAAGAGGTTGCTTTTCATTTCAGTATCTACACCACAAAATGATGTTATATTTCAGGAAACTACTGAGATTATATTAATTGCTAGAAAATTAGATTCTAAACAAAAAAGTACTTATTAAAATTAAAATAATAAAATATAGAATTTAATATCTGATAAATTGTTAGACTACTTACTGGAGTAGTAGATTAGATTTAATCTAGATGTCATCAGAATTTATTCTTGCCACAGTCTGGACCTCTGCCATCCATAATGTTAGCACTAGACCCATGTGACTATTGAGCACTTGAAATATGGCTATTTCAAATTGATATGTACTGTAAGTCTAAAATGCACACCAGATTTTGAAGACTTAGTTTGACAAAAAAAGGGTATAAAATATCTGATTAATACTTTTTAAATTTAATATATGTTGAAATGATAGTATTTCAGATATACTGGGTTAAATATACTATTATGATTATTATCAGCTGTTAATTTTTACATTTAAATGTGATCATAGGCTCATATTATATTTCTGTTGGATGGTACTGGTCTAGAACATCTATGTTTTGGAATAGTGATTTCATCAGTATATTGGAAAACAATGTCTACAATAATTTTTTTCTACAATAATTTTTTTAAAGATTTTATTTATTTATTTGACAGAGAGATCACAAGCAGGTGGGAGTGGGGGGGGTGGGGAGTGTAGCAGACTCCCCGCTGAGCAGAGAGCCCAATGCGGGACTCGATCCCAGGACCCTGAGATCACGACCTGAGCCGAAGGCAGAGGCTTAACCCACTGAACCACCCAGGCACCCCAATAATGTTTTATTTTTAATTTTAGTTCCACTCTATTACATATTTTGTTATGACAGAGAGCAGTAGCCCATTAACTACTCATGGTCATTATTACTTATTAACATGTAGTAATTCTTTAAAAGGCAAAAATATGAAAGCTATTTAATGTCATTTAAAACTACTGTCCTGACTTTTGTACTATAAATGTTATAATTTTCTTTTTTTCCTCTTTTTTAATTAAAAAATTTTTATTTTATTTGACAGAGATCACAAGTAGGCAGAAAGGCAGGCAGAGAGAGAGGGGAAAGCAGACTTCCTGCTGAGCAGAGAGCCTGATGAGGGGCTCGATCCCAGGACACTGGGATCATGACCTGAGCTGAAGGCAGAGACTTTAACCCACTGAGCCACCCAGGCGCCCCTAAATGTTATAATTTTCAATCTATATCTATTTTTTGATCCCATAAAATGTTGTTATTGTCATTTCTTAAATTATATTTATTTAGATTTACCCATATATTTATGTTTCATTGTTCTTTATTCCTTCTTGCATTGCTGTGCTTCTCTGTGTGATCATTATTCTTCTTTCTAATGAACTGCTTTTAATTTGTGTTCATGAAGGTTTGCTATTGATGAGTTTTCTCCTTTTTTGTTTGGAATCATTTTTATTTCATCTTCATTTTTAAAGAATATTTTTACTGGATAAAGAATTAGATGTTCCTATATATATTCTTTTAGCACTTTAAAAGTGTCATCGCATTGTATAATGCCTTCCAAGGTTTCTAAGAAAATGTTTTTCCTTTGAAAATGATGTGCCTTTTATTTATCTGGCTGCTTTTTCAAATTTTCTCTATGCATTTTAAGAAATTATTTTTAATGTCCTTAGGTTTTCCTGTCTCTACCCAAATGCTCCTTGGTGTTCGCTAAAGTTCTGAATTGTGTAGGTTGATGTCTTTTTATTAGTTATGGAAAATCATCACCCACTAGCTCTTAGAATATTGCTTTTATAACATCCTCCTTTATATTTAGAAAATGCAATTACAGATATTAAATCTCTTTCTTTACTGCATCTCATGTATCTTGTATACTCTTTTCTATAATACAGACCTATTTCCTTCCTGTCTTTCAGTCTGTATATTTTCTAACGCTCTCTCTTCTAGTTCACTAATCTTCTCTTCAATGGTCCAATCTGCAGTTAAACACATCTCTTGTATTCCTAATGTTAATCATTATATTTTTAATTCTATAATTTCCTTTTCATTATTGTTTATAAATTTCAATTATATGGAGAGGTTCTCTATCTTCTCAACAATTTTGTCACATTTTATTCTTTATTTATTTTAAAGGACACAAACTCCGAATCACCTTTGGATATGTTTTTATTGTCCTTTTATTCTCTCAGTTTCTATCTTTTGATTCTGTCCCCTGGCATGTCTAAGCTTGATCAAATGTTGGTCATAACTTATGAAAAATTACATAGGTAATTTGATGCTTTGTCTCATATGATCTTGCTCCAGACAGAACATCTTTTCACTTTCTCTCAGGCATCTTACGTATGGGGCAACCATCTCTTCCCAGTGTGCGATTTTGCTTGTTCAGGATTGGGCTTCATGTTTTTGTGAATGTTGATCTAATGAACATCAGGTATGTTCCCAGGGTATGAGCTTTCTGTGATCTTAGCAGGAAGTCAGTGACAATCACTAGAGTTCTTCCTCTAACATTTTTACTTTCAGTCTTTGAAACTACCAATACTCTGTGCAACTGCCTAGATCTTTAGCTGCACTTTTCACTCTACTTCTTAGTCTTTTGACACTACCCCCACATCAGATAAAATCAAACAAATGTCCTGAGGGGAAAAATAATACAATCTCAGACTCATTTGTGTTCTTCTCTGTTCTTTGGGATTTTTGTCCCTTCATGTCCTATTGTCTTGAACTTGAACTCTAAGGTTTGTTTCTATAGACCCTGAGAGATAGTGGGTGATGATTTTCCATAATTTTATTTATTTATTGAGCCAAAGTCTCAATTTAGATTCCTATCTAGTTTGTGGTTGTCTTCCATGCTTCTTAAAAACTCAAAGAGTCCTCTAAGGGAATGTGAGGCTCACTTCAATGCTATTCCCTCCTCACCTTTCTCACCAGGTTCCTGGGCTTTACAAGACCTGGTTGGTGTAGCTTTCCATTTTCTTAAATAAACATAAGCAGAAATAAATTCTGTAATTTTTCTCAGAGACATGGTCTGCAGTGAGTTACTCTGCCATATCTGAAATTCTTCCTTTACTATAGCTTGCTTTCTTTCCCTTTTACCTCTAAAAAAATTTCTAAAATCCGATAACTTTGATGGACATTTACAACTGAAAAGAATATCTCCTAAACATGATATATCTTGACATGTAACCATTTACTCAACATCCTACGAAAAAGTGCATATTCTATTTTAAGGAAATGTATGTTCTTATCAAACTTTCTTGCAAATCTATTTCTTAGTTAAGTTCAGTTAGCCAACATATAGTACATCATTAGCTTTTGATGCGGTGCCCAATGATTTGTTAGCTGCAAATCTATTCCTTTAAGATTATTGTCACATTATAAACTAAAAGAATAGGTTAAGGTTGTATGGTTAGTTATTTAATTATTTTTACCAGATGTCACACAAAAATAAGTCCTTCAAAAGTGTTTTAGTATCCCAGACATGCCCACCCACATCTTAAGTCCTTTGTGAAATAAACCTTCAGAAGATAAAACCAGACTAGCTCCTTATTCAACTAATCACCATTACAGATGAACAAAAAGAGTAATTCTATCTTTTCTGTTTATATGCTCTCCTAGGATTACTACGAGAGAACCTCACAAACTGACATAAGATTTCCATTTAGAATTTCTCTGCATTTCAGTCAGTATAGTGTCATATGGAGGCTTCCTCCTTTAATTAACTTTCAGGAAAAAACAATTTTATTTCACAATTAGAGAGAAATATAGTGCTTGGCTGAACTACTACATTAACTGTAAAGAAAAATGAGTGCGTTAACATGTTCAAAGGGCTGCTATCAGCTCCACTCATGTTTGGATGAAGGGGAATAAGCCATGTAACAGAAGGGTGTTGGGTGATTGAAAATGGGGAAAGAATTGCCATCTGAATACCAAATAACAGGGATGATGGTGTTAGAACAAATTTCTGGACTTCACAGGTTACCCTGTGTCAATCAAGCCACATTTTGTTCAACTGTTCCTGGTCATAATGGAAATGAACATAAAATATTTTTGTTATGTGTAGTCTCACATACATAAAACTTAGTGAAAGAATTGATATTTCTTCTGAGAAGAAATCTAGTACAGCCTCAGGCGCCTAAGTGGCTCAGTCAGTTAAGTGCCTTCTGCTCAGCTCTGATCCTGGGGTCCTGAGATCCAGAACCACTCACTGGGGAGCCGCTTCTCCCTCTCCCTCTGCTTGCAGCCTGCCATTGCCCAACCCCCCACTGGCTTGTGCTCTGTCTTTCTTTCTCTGTCAAATAAATAAGTAAAATTAAAAAAAAAAATCTAGTATAGCCTCTTACATGTTACAAGTACATTTTATAAAAAAATTAATTATAAAGAAGCTTAATTCCCAGAATATTAACCAATGGAAAAACTAGTATATTAAATTATATTTTGAAAGTATGAACAGCTTATTTGGTTGCTATTTCTTTTCTGTTCTCTCATCTGGATTAAATACATTAATATTATGGCATAATATCCAAACTATTGCAGGTATTACATATATTTAATATATACTTTTAACTACTTTGAGTCCCCAGCAGAGTCATTAGGACAATCTAAAAGCTAGGATTATCACATAATATGAACCACCTGATATCAGTGATACTTAGTCAATCTGGTTAGAAGGAAAGAGTGTTTTGTGAAATTTTTGTATCTTTTTTTTATTTGAGGTAATGAACTAGAGGAGCAATCTGAAAGAATATTTTGGCTTAGGTTGAGAAGTACAATAGAGACAACACTTACTGAAACAGCTTTTCTTTCCCCACAGATATATTCTAAAGGTATTATCTATTAACATAAAGGTAAGCTGACAGTTCTCTCACAAAGAAGCAGTTCCATTTTGATGATGCCCTCCATCAGCTACTCAAAGGAATATAATTGCTCTTCTAACCTCAAGAGATAGAAAAATCTCTTCTTGCAAGAAGTTCTTTTTTTAGTTCTTTTTTTCTCAAAATTTTCCTATTACAACAGCAGTATATATATATATTCATTGCATTCTTTCTAAACATGTATTATTAATGCTTCCATATAAAACACAATGCTGAATAAAGACATCTGAAAACCCTTTCTTTTTTACTTTGTATTTCATTCTCAAACCAGAGACTACAATTACTTTCCAAATACTAGGCATCCTGAAAATAAGTACATGATGTTATTATATGTATGTGCTATCCACTTGACTTATTTTCTTATTCTTCATTTCTCTGAAATTATAAAAGTAGAGAAAAAGAGTCACAAAAATATTATTTACTTTGTGTATGATTTACTTTGTGTGAAGTTTATGTATAGATAGGAGATCAAGAGAAAAGTGATTAAATTACAGCAACACACAGTGGCTCCTGGGTGGTTCAGTTGGTTAAGCATCTGACTCTTGATTTCAGCTCAGGTCATGATCTCAGGGTCCTGAGATCAAGCCCTCAGGCTGGGCTCCGTGCTCAATGCAGAGTCTGCTTAGTCTCTCTCTTCCTCTCCCTCTTCCCCTTCCCCGGCTTGTGATTATTCTCTGTCTCAAAAAATAAAATGAAACTCTGAGCTCATGTTCTAGTTACATAACCCTAACTAAAGTTCTGAATCTTTGTTCTATGGTTGTAAAAGCAGTTGGTGTGCTAGATCAGTAGTTTTCAAACATAGCTGCTGCTTCACCATTGCCAAAGGAGTTGATAAAATACCACAGCTTCCCAGTATCTAACAACTCCCCAGCTACTGTACTCTGGGACGAAGACTTGGAACCTCTATTTTCCTCTAGGCGTTTATGTGGTGAAATTAAACTCTACCTACATAATTCCCAAAGTTTCTGTCATCCCTATAGTATTTTTTTCAGCAGTTGCCTGTTCATATGTCATGTGAACCATGTAAAATATAGTTTTGGTCACAAAAATTTCAGAAAAGCAAGTGCATTTGAAGTACATTACATATGTTGTAACAACCTTGCATGTATTCTTTTCAGGTAGTACCTTATGGAATTATTTTTATTGTCTTCCTCTTAATTATATTCCTCTATGATAGATCACATAATATGAAAATCTGTTCATGAAAGAAAAAAAGATGAAAATTCAGAATGTGGGAGAGTTTACTGGTCACAACTCTCAAGATAATGTATTAATTATTCAATAGAACTAATTCTTATGTCTGTAATCCTAAAATTGTGTAAAAATTCTCCAGTAGAACTAGCTGGAAGAACAGAACTAATTGGAAAAGACTTCCCCCACCACCAACTGATCCTTTCCAATAATTGTATCCAATAAGTTTTTTATTTGCTTTAGTTAGTTTTCATTTCTTTCAATTGAACCATCACTATTACTTAATATTAGTTTTCCTTGAGGAAACTTGTCTCTTACATGATAATTATAGAGCTCATTTTGCGGAGGCAATTTTTTATTTAGAAATATTTTTTAATCATCTCTTGTTCTTTAGTGTTATTGACCAATTTAACCTTTGCTTAATATGTTCGTGATCAAAATATTCAATGTTATTACCAAAGGAATTTCATGAGCAGGGCAATCCACCATGTGGACACTCCCAAAATATATGCTGTTACTGCAAGACTGTCAGGGTTCCCTCTGTTGCCCAGGGTGATCATTAACTATGGTAATACAGATAAATCCCTGCTCTCACTGACACCAGAGCATGCTGCCTACAGTTCCCCAGTGTTAGAAGCAGCTAAATTGCAAACAGGATCAATGATTTGTATGATCTTCCCTTGTGACTTCTAACTCTATATCTGATTTTATCTTATTTTTAAAAGATATTTTATTTATTTATTTGACAAAAATTGAGAGACAGCAAGAGAGGGAACACAAGCAGAGGGGGTGAAAGAGGGAGAAGCAGCCTCACTGCTGAGCAGGAAGCCCAATGTGGCATTCTATGCAGGGCTCGATCCCAGCACTCTGGGATCATGACCTGAGCAGAAGGCAGATGTTTAGCGACTGAGCCACCCATGTGCCCCTGATTTTAAAGATAGTACTTCTTTTCTTGCTTTCTGGTATGTTAATTAATACTACATAGTGTATTTTTTCCAGCCGGAAGCTATTAAAAAACTAGCACTGTACTTCATTTTTAGCAGCTCTGCAAAATTATCTACCTCTTTATCTCCAAGGTTGTTGAAAATGTACTTTATGTGCCCTAATTTCCATTACTTTAAATCAGACCTTACCAGTGATTATCCCTAAATTTGGAGGAAATGCATGAAGCAGTTTTCATGGGATTTAATACTAAACCTTTAGAAATTAAAAATGTATCTCTACAAAGAAATTATATATCATATTTAACAGAGACTATTTATTTAGAAATTATATATATACTATCTATAAACTATATATACTATAAACTATAATCTAAAAAACTATTTGTAGTTTACTTTTATAGTATATAGTTTAAAAGCTGAGACTTCTCTATAAAACTCAACAAAGCTTCTATTTGTAATATTGCACTCATAACTACTGAACATGAATTTGTTTATGTAGTATCCCCTGTATTACTTACACCTAGAGTTCTAATGAAAGACAAGCACTGAAAAATATTAGAGTCTTGTCTGCAGAATTATCTCATGCACGTGCACACGTGTGTGTGTGTATGTGTAAAACTTTAAGTAGGCTACTTCTCCAAAATTTTTTACCTAATTCTTGAAGGGTGAGGAGTGTTTTCTCTATGTTCCTTTGAAAGTAATGTACTTAGCATAGAAGAAAGGATATGAGATTTGGGGAAGTGGTTTTGAGCTAATGACGTTCAGTTAGAGACAAAACTTTGGGTGATGCTAATTAACACAATAATAAAGATGACAATTTTTCTGAACAAGAAGAAAGGCCTGTGGAAGAGGATAACATCAATCCATGAGATACCACTTAATATTTCACAGAGCAGCTTCTATATGAGGCAACAGATAATTAAAAACCAAGTTGACATCAAGAAAGAAAATTCAAGACCATGTCTTGGTCAGGGCCCCTTCAGCACAGTGAAATAAGTCTTTCATTATACACTTACGTCTAAAATTGTACTTTACTACATTAAGTAACAAATATTATGTAATAATGACTGAGGAGTCAAGAAAGTTTCATTAAGCACCTACTTAGCATGACAGTGAAGTGCATAGCAGATTTAAGACATGTGTCCATTAAAAACAATTAAAATTTTTCATTGATAGTATTTAAAAGGTTATAGCTCAGCTGTCTAGATAATTCAGATATCCAGAATGATATATACTCTGAAGATTATGATTTTATCTTCATATGAGGTAGATCTTATTAATGAACTGTCTTCGGTTTGCCTTGGTGCCTATCCATATAATTTTCTCTACAGTCAAATAATGAAAGATTCAAAGTGGGTTTTAATATCATTCTTAGTAGATAACATCATAGGGGAGGCATAAATTCATTACTGAAGCTTGTCTTCTCTTCTGAAGGTTAAATATGCCTTAAATCTTGTTGCAAAATGATTTATAAAAAGAAAGACACTATTCTAAAAACAAAAATTTTCTCGTTTTGAATTTCATCTTGTAAATTGCTTCAAAAGTGAATGGGGATCTATGTAATCTATAGGATTATGTGGAATATTACACTTAAACCCAGATTCTTAGAGCGTGTTTCTTACTTGCATAAATTCATATTTTTTAAAAAAATGTTTTATTTATTTATTTGACAGACAGAGATCACAAGTAGGCAGAGAGGCAGGCAGAGAGAGAGAGGAGGAAGCAGGCTCCCTGCTGAGCAGAGAGCCCGATGCGGGGCTCGATTCCAGGACCCTGAGATCATGACCTGAGCCGAAGGCAGAGGCTTTAACCCACTGAGCCACCCAGGTGCCCCACTTGCATAAATTCATATTATTGTTTTAAGCAATAATGAGACAAGCAGGGGCACCTGGCTGGCTCCGTTGGTGGAGCACGTAACTCTTGATATCAGGGTTGTGAGTTCAGGCTCCATGTTAAGTGTAGAGATTACTTAAAACCAAAATCGTTTAAAAATTTAAAAAAAGAGAAAGTAAATTGAATATAGTATTAATCATTATGGTTTTTATGTAAGAATGATAATAATTTCAAGCTGTTTGCTAAGGGGTCACAGAAAAAAATTTTTAGAGAAGGAGAGTCTACTTTCCCATATATTGTGTATAAAGCTGTTCATCCTCAAAGTTATGAAATTAATACTTAAGGATAATTTTCCATGTATGTCAAATAGAGGTAAACTGCTGATCCTAAAACAAGGAAGTTAACTACCAATTGAAAAATTTGTGCAATAGATCATTGTTTTATTCAACAATAAAAATGATTTACATTTTCTTTAATAATTGATAAGGTCTTATTCTGTTACAGACATTCTCAATGCAGTTAGTGGTATAACTTCATATTAAGGACTCTTTAAAACTTGCAGCTCACAGAGTATGAACACAATTCTGCAATGAAGAAATATGTACATAATGGGAGAACTCGATCAACATTTTTCTTAAACTGCAGAGAGTAGATAGACTTAAGTGTCTGAATTCTTGATGTTTTGATGTTTTCATTAATACGATATAAACTTTTCAGAAACAGTCTTCAACTTATATATCTTCATATCACCCGAAATGCACAGCAAAATATTTTGCATGTAATTGTCAATTAGTCAATACATGTGGATTTACTAAGACAAATTCTGCATGTTCCAGATCAATGATAAAATAAGAGATGCAGCAAAACAAGGTAAGGTGTTTTCTCCTTTTGTTCAGGCTAAATATTATTGCAGTGTTGTCAAAAATATCATGCCACCTTCGAAGTGCCAATTTTACTAGAACTTGTTGTAACTTACTTGTACAGATGAAAAGAATCTTCCATATGTATATGGTTGAATTATGTTCAA